AAAAAAAAAAAAATTCAACAATTTTTTTTCGCGTAGAATTTAAAAAAAAAATGTACCTCTTGCTTCTGTAATCTTTCCTGATTTCCTGCCATTTTTTGGATATTTTCGATGGTTTTTGTTGATTTTTGTTTGAATATTTATTTATTTATTTATTTTTTATTTTTATTTTTTATTTTTTTTTTTTAAGTGAGGAGGTTGGGTGATTTGGGAAAAGAGGGTTTTGGGTAAGAGGGTGGGGGGAGGACGGCAGTTTTTTTTTTTTAATTTTAATTAGTAAGGGTAAATTGATCTTTTATGGGTGCGGTATCATTAAAATGGGTGCGGTATTTAGGAATTCAGAAATAAATATTGGAAACCAAAAAATCAACTTAAAATTAGTAAACGTATAGGAAACAATTATTAAATTGTAATATTACCTTACTTAAATATTATATTGTAAGGATCGTAGGTAGAAGGGGTGCGGTCCTACGCAGATGAAATGCACCATGACAGAAAAAATTCAAATGAAGCCCAAGTAATTCGCTGAAAAACTATAATTGAAATGTGAAAAAGTTCGGTCTGTTACCTTCATATGTATTTACATCCTATTGAAAACTGCAATGCATTCACTCAATTTTTAAATATCTCATTAATACATGTACATATGTGCGAATATATGTATTTTAACCTATTTGTTAAAAAGAAAAAAAACTCTAATAATTGCACTTCACTCCATATTTAACGTCTATTTATAGTATGTTTACACAAATATAATTCCTCACTTCTTTTAAAAAACCAATCAACCAGTGAATTTAAAATTCTGGAGTCGGCTGTATAGATCACATGTCGTTATTGTGCTCGATCCGAATACATATCCTCGTTCAAATTTAAATATTTTAATTCATTTTTAATAAAAAGAAAAAATAGCCATCCTACGTTTAAATGATTTGAATGATCTTTGCCCGGGAGAGACCAACAAGGTGGTGTCATCAAAGACCCGACCAAAAATGGAGACGGCCGGCCGGTAGGTTTTGGTACTAGCCCAATATTTGAATTGGCAATCCAAAATTCAAGCTCGTAGTTCTCTTTTTGTTCGATTTTCAGTTGCCTACTGATCAGCGATTTGGTGTACGCGCAGCGCCGGGCCGGAGAACGAATTTCCGGAGTTTTCGCGGTGGCTTTACTAAAATGACGGCGACGGCGACGGCGACGGCGACGGCCGACGGGTGGTATGTAGTCCTAACTTGAATATGTGAATCATTTTTGTTGCCGCGGATTGTGCCTAAATGCTTGCGGATTTCAGTGTCTGTTTCGATTTCCTGTATTAGTTTGTGGTGATGATAAATGACATTAGCCCGATTGCTATTGAATGTAATTTTTGCATTACTTATAGCTTCCTTGTTCTTAGACAAAGCTACTTCTCCATTGTCTTTCATTCGAAGGCATGATATCGGTGTGATGAAAGAGTGTTCAGATGCCTTTGATTTGAATATTGAATTTTTGAATCTCAAACTAGGGTTTATCTTTGGCATGATTGATTACTTCTTTAGGCGTTTTTGGAAGATTGTATTTCATTTGCATCTGAAGTTGGAGTCTCCTGCATGGAGGGACATATGTTGAATCAGGATCAATTATGCCAATTATTAGGGGTATGTTCAGGAGAGAAATTGATAATCACAAATGCTATTTGATAGCCGAAAAGTCGGCTTAAAAGAGCATTTGACAAAAGTCGACAGACATGTCAGTCAACAGAAAAATATCATATTCCATTGCTGCAATGCTTTAGATTAAATGATATTGAACTTTAACAAGAAAAAATGACGAGTAGAATAATAAAAGAAATCATTTGACATTGTAAAATATTTAATTAGTGTATTCTTATGAGAGAAAAAATCCAGTACATATACGTTAAGGATGTGAAGACAACTTAACAAAAGGCTAATACTTAATTGCAAACATGTGTTATTTCATCAAGACAAAGAAGGGTCCTCCTCAGAACGCTACTCATTGAAGTATCATGAGATCAGCTCTGGCTTTCCAGATGTGTTCCAAAATGAAGCCTATTTTATATGTAAGTGCTTATAAGCTTATGAGTTTTGTGAGATCAGCAACCAATAAGCTTGTTGGAAACCAATGATGCATGAGAATAGGAACATAGAAGATTATGGTTAGACATAGACGTGGAACATGAGAGGAGTAAATGAACTCATATGCTCTCAATGTCTTGATACTAAATTTCTAATCATGGTACCACTGTCTTGATATTTGTGCATGACCATTGGGAAAAGGTGATGGTCTTTTGGTGGAAAGTGTAGGAATATGCTTGTGAACTAGTGTATGGCAAGAATTTTCATCTTCAAGATACACCTCTCCTATCACTATGTTCCTAGACGAGATAAAATAGTTTTTCTTGGAAAATGTTGAATGAAGATATGTGAGATGCTATTGCTATTCCAACGACACCACTTTATCATTTTTTCCCTTTTAAATTTTATCTTAAACCAGTGGTAGTTTCTGAATGACGTTGTTAGTGCATAACAATCAATTTTGGGTTGTGAATCAAAGTAGGCTAACATGGCTAGATTTATGTCAAAACACTTTTTGTTGGTTTATTGCATAACCATCACGTCACTCAACCCAAAAGTTCCCATATACACAAAATATCTATTTTTATTATACTCTTAATTATAAAAACATTTTTTTTTTCCTTAAAATAAATGTAAACTGGAAAGAAAATGAGGAGAAAGGTTTTTCTTATTTATTAACTTAAAAGATGAAAAAGAATTTTGAAAATTGTAAATAACCATGTTTCCATTATGTTTAGTTAGTAGACTAAAACATGATCCTTTCCCTACCTATGGAGAATCATGGTCAGATAACTTAAGCCATTCATCTACGTTCACCGAAGTTGTGTCCATTTCCGCGTCTGTTATGTTTCCCGTGAAGTTGTTATTCCACACAGAAGGATTTGATGTGGACACACCAAAGTTACGCGGAATATCCTGGGGAAAAGAATTCATTGACCACGTAGGCTGTACCAAGATATTGTCAAACAGGTGAGAATGACGTACACTGTTGGCTTGATTATAGTTCTTTTGTGATTCCAAATATCCAGGGGTTCTGTGAGAAGAAGGTTCTTGTGATGCCATGCAGCCATGGGCTGAATATTCCATTCTTGTGGAATTCCCATATCGGCGTCAATATTACTGAACTGGTTTCCAGTATTGATGTGTGCCTCTGGCTGGACACAGATTGTAGGGCATCCAAACAAAAGAATTCATCATTAAAATAAAATGAGCTCTGTGTTGGAACTTCTGGGGGCAGGTCCACGGGCTGTTGGATCATGGTTGGATGAAAATTCTGGGTGACCATTGATAGCATTGGTGCCATAAATTGTGAGTTTTTTAGGTGTTCTCCCTCAAACAGTAATTGTGTCTGTTGAGGTTGGCATCTTGAGTTGACAGATCTTGAAGATGAGGCCTTTGTTTGCTTAGCACTCCTAGGTTTACCTCAAATCGGGATATCCCTTAAGTTTCCGCCAACAGTCCATTGTCGTTTTCAAGTCCTGCATGAGTGTCGGGGTTGTGTGGGGCTGTGATTATTGAAAAATCGGAATTTAGTGTCTAGAGAGTTGCAACGTGGACATCTCAAATGGGTTGGTGGTAATTGCTCTTGTTGCTGGGGTTCGCCTTTTGCTTGCTCCATTTATCTCTCTGTGTTTCTCTGTGTTCATATCTTTTATGTTCTGTGTTCTGTGAATTGCAAATCATTAAGCTTATTTTTATAGTCTAAAATTTAAGTGTCCAAATTGCAGTGAATAGGGATGTTGTAATCTCGCGAATTATAGGAGTAAATCTGATAATAAGATTTCACGGATGTATAGCGATAAAAAGTACATTGACTCTCATTTGGTCTTTGTAATATCATGGGAAAATATAATTATGTGGATGTGCATGCATTAAAGCACACGAGTTTGGCCGTGATCTGGTTTGACATTATACTATTATAGATGGGTTTGTCAGTTTGGTTGTTTCTCGTGGGAGTATGAGAAGTTAATTTTAGTACAATCAGCGCTTTCTTTTTCTCTTCGCTGAAAGAGCTATGCACATTTAAGTGCCGAGTACACTTAAACAAAATTTCCAATTAATTTCCATAATTTGCTTACTAGGGGAAAAACATCATACTTACCAACTCACCCCGATTGCACTTAAACCTTCTAAATTATCAATCAGTCTTTCGTAATAGCCAAATCATTTTTCTGGTGGATTTTGTTTCTTTTTATTGGGGTCAGATAAAAGATTCTTTTATTTGATTTCCAGTTTGTTTATACCTGTGTTTTGAATATTTACATATGTTTTTGCAAACATTGCATGTTAAGCAATAGTCATTTTAAAGTAGCTAAAAATAGAGCATATAGTATGCAGGGATTGAGTTGTCTTAGATATCTTGCTCTACTGAGGTGGTTGGTCTGAGATTACACAATTAGCTTAATTATAAAGTTACCTGTGCAGTTATCTTAGAGCATTGTTAGGTTTTATTGTGCATTTCTTTTATTTCTTGTGTTTGATAGTTGGATACATTCTTAACGCATACATATGACTTGCTGAATGAACGAAAAAATAGTGATGGAATATCAAAGTCTCAGTGGTTTTAGATGTGATTGTATTTTACTTGTGTTTTGTGGCAATAAATCATATCAGGATGTATAGTTTAGTACACTCTAATGAGACGTTGAATATCCCTAATTATAGTTTTTCAGCTTTTAAATTCATTACTTGTCAATTGTAATACAACTTCTCTTCTCTGGTTGCTTTAATTAAAAAAAATAAAAATTAGATATCTGGGATTGGATATAAGATTTCTTGTTTCGCCTGAAAAATGAGATGGAAGAGTTGAAACAGTTGTTTTTAGAAAAAGTGTGTCAGGTTTGAGATTGTGAAATAAAAAATGTAATGATTAAAGTTGATTTTATATAAACATAATAAATATTGATTGATCGTGATTGTTTGAGTATGTAGATGAGTGAAAAGTGTTTTTTGTTGGAAAATTTATTGCCATGTTTGATTTTTTTTTTTTTAAAATTGTGTTAATAGGATTGTGGAGAAAGAACTGAAATAAGATGGATTTTTTTTTTTTTTTTT